AAGTGAAACAATGAAAATCTCAGACAATTAAATCCAGTTTGACAGTTGTTCTGCTGTCCATTATGAAAAGTTTATTGAAAAACATTAAATTAAGTAAAATATATTAATTAAGGTCATAGACATAGTAGATAAAACAACTAAGAAATTTACAGTACCATAATGAGTAAGTATGTTGTAGAAATGTTAAATGCTCCATGAAATTTATGACTAAACATAATTACTAGGAGTCAGAATAAATCTACATGGAAACTAGATGTTTTTCATAATTAATTCCTGAGGTATTGCACACAATCCTGTTAGTTTTCCATCCATGTTTGACATTGCCAGGAACCGGGCTAATATAAAAGCTCGTCCTACCTAGCACCAGTAACCAAGGAGGTGGAGTTTAGTGAAAGATTATCTCATTTAGGGACAATAACAAATTTGTTCTGCACATTGCAGATTGAAAATGAAAAACTAGCATATTTTAAAGCTTTGATCAATGTCACAGACCTACAACACATTCAGAAAAAAATTTACCCATCTTATCGTGGCCATGTCTTCTCGTTCAGTACAAAAATTATACAGAAGTGAGCATATTTAAACTCTCACTGATAAATTCCTCTCTCTTTTAGTTTTAACTTCCCTCTTTTAGTTTTAAATCCTCTTGTTAATGCAGACCATCTTTCAGCATGAACTGTGCTTCATTGGTGAATTTGCGCAGGGACATTAATCAAGGGCAGTAACCTCCATTCGTTCTGTTAGCTTTCAACTGTCCCAGATGTTTAGTTGAATCATAGCGGGCCGATGCTGGTCCTGACATTGTGATCCATATCTAATGGTATCCGGATGCTTACTCAGGCTTTCTGGCCATTTATGGGCCATTACAATGCATGTGTTAAGAGAAAGCCATAACTGAGGCAGACTTCATTGTGTGGAAAGTGTCTTGTTGACTCTGTTTAGAGGGAGGGGGAGGGAATGCCTTGCTCTTTGGCAAAGAAAGTGAATTAGGCTAAATGTTCTTCCATTTACCAAAGTAGTACTTTACAGAATTTGAAGCTGAAAAAAAAAGTAGTTTATACGTACTGTATAGAAGATTAGATGTATGTCTGTGCTGTCTACTCAATTTCAATTGGTTTTCAGACATATCGAAGGCGATGAATATATGAACAGATATGAGTAGTATTCAAGTAAATTCAAATACTCATATTACTACTCATATTGGTATTTCTCTTCTCATTTAATCACAATCATGTTACTTACTTTCTTCTGTGGAACACAAAAAGAGAAGTTTTGAAGAATATCCAAGCTGTTATTGTCTCTAAAGTGAAATGTAGGAATCTGGGGCTGGGCCTGTCAACCTCCTGAACGATCAAAAAATAAACAAAACCATAAAAGTATAATTAAAGGGTTAGTTCACCCCAAAATGAACATTCTGTCATCATTTACTCACTCTCATGTCTTTCCAAACCCATAGAACATTTATTCATCTTCAAATGACATATATTTTTTAATGAAACCTGAGAGTTCTGTCATGTAAACCAAACTTTGAGGATTCAAAAAGGTCAAAAACTTTGTAAATGTAGCTTAATATAGGATTCAAGCGGTTTAACCTAGTCTTCTGAAGAGACACGATTGTAGAGCTGTCACTAACGATTATTTAGATAATCGAGTAGTCAGTCGATTATTTTGACGATTAATCGAGTACTCAGGTCTATTTTTACTACCACAAAAAATATCAAAGAAAAGACCGCTCTCGTCTTCAAATACATAAATAACAACGAGGCAATAATATTTGGTTCAAATAAAGTATTAACAAGAAGTAGGCCTAAACAAATGGTTTTATAGAACAAAGCTGTTAAAATACAATAAATAAACCATCATCTAATGTACATTATGCATGATAGCAAATGCCTGCAGAGGGCATCCTGTTGTTGTTACACTTTACTGCAGATCAAATCCTTGTTTAATATTGGCCAAGTTTTGACAAACCACGTTTTGTCACAAAAAATCACGCGATAAAACGAACCGGAAATGACGCGAAACAGCACGCGCGCCAATACCCAGCGAAGAAGACGAAGAAGAACACAACACGCAAACGTGCCTTGCTCTGATTGGCTGTAGCTCATGACATCACGTGAGCTTGAGTCGTGCGACAGCTCTGGATATCTAGCATGCTAGATATTTTTCTGGACTCGGCGACGCGTCTGCGAGCGTCTTTGATGCGTTGTTGGCTCTTTCATACTAACAGATTGGCGAGCGTTCATCGCCCGCTAATCTCCCGCGATTTGCACGCGATAACACCCTGACCTGTTGGCGAGCTCAACGATTTGCAAATCGGGCTTAAAATCATGTAGTGTGAACTAGGCTTAAAGGGATTTGGTGTTGGAAAATTTTTTAGGATGGGAGAATTTTTTTTTCCAAATCTTCTGCGTTCCCTCGCAAAGATATTTGCGTTCCCAAAACTTTTGTGTTCCCTGGCAAAGATATTTGCGTTCCCACGCAAAGCCTGTTGGGAGCTCGGACAGACACTTCCTGTTTAATGTCCCGCTGGCAGTGTTTCAGAGCTCCGTACGTTAATGGAGCGTTTCATAGTGTTTGAACTTGGACTCAAATATAAAGAAATGCGGTCAGTGCTTAACTCAAGATGTTCAGTGAAGTTGGCAATATATTCACATAAGCTATTTGAACTTCCGGGATCAATATTCTTGAGCTAAGAAGAACACAAACGACACCTATTTACAATCACAGTAACCTAGACAACGAGCTGCAACCCAATTCTCCTCAAAACGAGCGATTCTGCGATTCCGTCCGTGTTTTCTGCATCGCGGAAATCACAGGGCCCTATTATATTAAGGTGTTTTGCAACTTCAGTGTAGTTATTTATTGCTACTTCAGCAAAGTCTGCTGCTGCCCTTTGAGAGACAACTGATGCGTGATCAGTGAAGCAGCTCCAGTCAGCAAGTGCTTTCGGTGTGAGAGTGCAAAACCTTCATTGCCTTCAGCTTTCCGCGTTGATTGGCCGGACTCGTGACTCCCAACAAATCAGATGGGCGGGGACATTGGTCTAGTCTACAGAGTGGTGAGTTCCGACAGAGGTGGCTGCGTCAGAGCCAAATATAGCGCATTTACATTTTTTATTTTTATTTTATGGGCAAATCGGTTTTGAAAATGGCCGATACCGATAACCATAAAAATGCTTAATATCGGCGCTGATAATCGGCCGACCCCTAAAAAGGAGATTATCAATCACTGATCAGAGTTTTGAATTGATCCATCATGGAGATGAACAGTTCTTTCTTAAAGGGATAGTTCACCCAAAAATGAAATTTCTGTCATTAATTACTTGCTTTCATGTCGTTCCAAATCCGTTAGACCTTCGTTCATCTTCGGAACACAAATTAAGATATTTTTGGACTTTCTGACCCCCCTATAGATTGCAACGTTATTACCACTCTCAAGGCAGTAAAGGTAGTAAAGATATCGTTTCATTCATTTGTGTTCCAAAGATGAACGAAGGTCTTGCGGGTTTGGAACGACATGAGGGTGTGTAATCAATGACAGAATTTTCATTTTTTGGCTGAACTAACACTTGAACTATTATATTCACAAGTTGCTAGACAGAATCATGAAACTGGTCTAATGACACACTTTTTAGGAATCTTAACGGCTAAGATCACTTAACTTATGATCAACATGAAATTCACAATTTTAGCTCCTCAGTAAAATCATTGTGAAAGTCCGATAGACCGCCAGCTTTACATGAAAGTACACGTCGCAGTGAACAGTAACTCAGCGTAGCACACATTAACAGCCCCACACTGTTTCTGTATGGCGTGTCCCCTGCCGAATTCTAGAAGTCCCTTTGTCATAATTCAAGTGTGTCCTTCTGTATGTTCCTTTGACCTGCTAGAGAAAACACATAGCCAGTGTGGGCACCTCTGGTTTATCTCTCTTTACACATGTTCGAGATGTGACAGCAGGGCCTGCTGTGTGCATAAAAGGGAAGAGGAAGAGATTTATGAGACAGCGTTTGTGTGTGTTTATCTGATGGATAACAGTGGACACTTGTTTCTTTGTGTGGCTGCAGTTGGGAACCCTATTTTCATGGCCACACCTTAATTGTATCGATTTTCATAATGATAAATGAACATTTGTTTGTATGGTGCCCTATATATCCGGATGATCACTCACTGGATTTATTATTACGGAATCTCTTGAGTTTTTAATGATATTTCTCTGATGATATTTTTAAATGCGTTTCACCAGAAAAAAAAAAACGTTTATGCCCTTTATTTGATTTTAGAAAATGAAGAAACCCTTCTGAAAGAGATATTTTATGTCTCAGACTCTCTTTAAATGATGGCTGGAGGCCAAATGCGACATTACTCGCACAATGTGCCAACATTATTTCCTCTTGAATCCTCACACAAATGAAATCATCAGCCCTATACGATATATATGCATGCAAGATAAATTATTGCCCTATAAAGTTAACACCTTGTTAAACCAGTTATGCATCTTTTCAAATCCCTAGTATGAGGTTATATATTATTTAGGCATATTTTGTTTAAATTTCGACTGCAATAGTGTTCCAACTTTTTAGACTGATTCCTCACTACAGACAGACTATAGTGCATTATTGTAGTGGATCAGTGTACTATGTAGTGTGTTTTGGTGACGTAATAGTGTTTTTTAAAATGTGCATTGTATAGTGTATAAATATAGAGTGTAATAACGGTCTATCCCTGCCACAATGTATTTTATTTTATGCTATTATTTTAGTATATAGCTTATTCACAACTTGAGCTCTTGCTCCACTCCGGGTTTTCCATTTACTCACCAGTAAATGAAAAAGGAACAACGCTCAGCCAATTAAATGTGCAAGTAATTAAACTGTTTTATAATATAATTTAATTTGTATAGCGAAAAACAAACACAGTTTTATTCTCTCACTCTTTATTTATACATAATCTACATACAGTGTAGAATTAATTTTCTCTCTTTTTCATTCCCCCCAGGAGGTCCATGAAATTCTGAGAGAGTACGAACTCAAATACTGTTTTGTGGACCGGAACAAAGGAACAGGTAATTGGCCTCCTTCAGTCATCCTTCTGCTCTCATGTTTCTAATGGTTCTTTTCCATCTCAGCCATCAGAATCCAGACCTCTCAAAAAAAACAAAAAACAACCCCACCACACATTTGCCTACTTAGCGCACCTGAGATGTTAATTTCCTGTGGTGGTGAATGAGCACTTACAGAGAATCGTCTTGATGGAGAGTCTCAGCTCTCTAACTGCAGAAATGTTGCCTGTTCCTTTGAAGTAAAGTGAAGCTTTGAGGTTATTTGAGTTTGTACATTCTGTCACAGTACTGATTTGTCCATTTCTATTTCTGTACCATATTAAATATTGAATCAAATGAGCAGGTGCATTTTAGATTTCACATATAATTTTAACTTCATAATAATATAAATGAATCAAATGTAATATTTTAACTTCAGTCCATCACTTACAATGATGATCTAATACATCACAAAGAGCTGCTATTTCAACTGCGTTTCAGACAATTGGAAAGCTCAGGTTTACTTCCAAAACAAACCAAGCTTGTCATTTTCAACCATGCAGAAAAATCATTTTATGCCTAACATATGGTAAAAAGATAAATAAAGGATGATAAACAAAAATCTTTTGAAGTCAAGCATAACCTGTATTTCATTGTTTCAGTTAAAGTAATTAGAGGAAACAGCTTAAAAAGAGGAAAGGCTTGTTCACTTGGAACTGGTACTGATAGTTCATAGGTTTGAAGTGTCACGGATAGTCTGAACAAAGCGCACGACAGGAATAATCCAGGAAACAGTCTTTAATTCAAATATACTCAGGAAAACTCAGGGAAACTGATTCACAACACCTCAACATTGACGAGACAGGACAAGGACTGCAAGAACACAGGGAGTATAAATACTAGAACAAATGAGGGAACTTATAAGCGAATTAATTGGATGACAGGCGTAATGAATCAAACAGACACAGACTAGGGGCCTATACCGTGAAGCCGGTTTAAGTGGATAGCTGGGTATGTTTCAGTTTAGTTTAAAGGGGTCATATGATGGTTCTAAAAAGAACATTATTTTGTATATTTGGTTTAATGCAATGTGTTTACGTGGTTTTAGGTTAAAAAAGTCATTATTTTACACACTCCTCTATTTTACATACTCCTCTATTCCCGATTTTTAAAGATTGTTCTGAAAAGCGCGGTGTGCTCTGATTGGCTAGCGATCCAGTGCATTGTGATTGGCCCAAAAACCTTAAGCGTGTGACGGAAATGTCACGCCCCTTACCATATTTGGAACATCAGCTCCCAAAGCGATAACGTCGGTACTACCTTATCAATTCGAGTCCGAATCTGAACCGGAACATGCAGATGGCCAAGGTGATCGATCAACTTTGCCAGCGCGACTGGAGCAGAACGTAGCATAATTACTGATTATAATGACTTACTGTCTTTTTGTGCGTCGCGCTACGAGTGTGAGAACACTATGTAAACATAAAACTATGTCTGCATTTGTGATCATAGAAACGACAAGCAAGCGCTACTCTATACTGCTCAAAACTCGCGTTTGAATAGTAGTCAGTAGCAAATTCTTAAAATATGAAAACATACTTACAGGCTGTGTCTTTGAGTCAGAAGCGCCAGAATGTACCTGCAAGAATCAGCCTTTGTGCACAACACCAGCCTTGTACTCTTGCAGGTTCTGGAAACAGTTCTCCGAAAAATGTGTAGCACACAGTCGAAACTTTTAGTTGTACTGTTCTGGAACAGTGTTGTAAATAAAGCTTAAGCACTGTTTTCTAAATAAAGCTTAAGCACTGTTTTCTAATTGTGTTCTTTTTTGGAAGGCCAAACAAAGTAGTTTGGCTTTCGCAAGGAAAAACACAGCGTCTCCACGACGTGGCGGCGCCGGCGGCTTCAATAATACAGCGAAAATAAAAGTTATGCCTTCTTTCTTTGCGTATACATTTGGGCGGTGTTATGAAACTCTGCCTCCACACAGTGACGCAGATTTGTGGGGGCGTGTTTGAATGAAGCATTTTAGGAAGGTGTGGCTTAGCCTTAACATTTATAAAGAATATCTCTTTAGGTTCGACACTTTGAGCTTTGTAACTCTGTAGATCTTATACATGCACAAACAGCTACATAACACACTAAAGAAAAAGGAAAAAAAGAAATCGCATCATATGACCTCTTTAAGCCAACCCTGGGTTTTAGGCACCATGAAAGTGGCTCGGCTTTTAGCGGTGTTCATCGCCGTAGTAATTTATACTCCACGGCTAACCTTCTCCGGGGCAGGTTATGTTCCGACTAAGAGATTTCTAACCGAAATTGAACCAATCAGCTGTGAGTAAAGTGACACGTGTCTGATGCAATAAAGTCACTCACCCAGTTTCTTTTGCTATTTCAACTCATGGTATAGCATCTACAGCATAATGGTACAAAGCCTGATTGAATTGGTTCGGTTTTGTTAACTTGAAACTAATCCTGTAACCCTGAATTTGTTCAACTACCATCATGGTCAACTGACAGGATATTGGTAAACAGGAGTCAGGACAGAACCAAAATGCGACAACATTCACACTCCTCTAGACCTTGAAAATGTAAGCAAACGGCACGTGCGCATACCTTTTACTGCCTAAATTGGGCACAACCTTTACCGTGTCAGTTCAGGAAACAGGGTGTAGTATATGTTTAGTCCTGTTCATGGGGTGCGAACAATGTACCTTTACTTTGGGCATAGATTGAATCGAAAAGCAAGTCAAATAACACATGTAAAATCGTTTTTAAATCTTTCAATTACTGCAATTATGAAAATTGCTCCTCTAAATGCAACAATTCTTTCTGAATGTTGTTGTGATGGGAACAATAAACCTTTTATCAAAATTCAGTGCAGGATTGTAGACGCAAACCTGGGCAAATTTTCAACATTCTCACATTTAGACCTGCTATGATATTTGTAGAGCTAACAGCATCTTGCAGAGTGCTACAAGCAACTTGCTTTGAAATGTTGTTGAAAAATCAGCTCTCATGTCTTATTTATTTATTAAATGTGGAAGTAAGAATTAAAAATTTCTAGCATCATTTGGCTTATCTTCATGTCAGTATGAAAAACCATGAATGATCAAAGCTCAAATGTTTCAGTGTAATGGGGTTCATAAGAGGTGAAATCTATTCTGAGTTGCACAAAGGGATGTAGCCAAGAAAGATGTGTTCCTGGATCAACATTCTTTGTTGGTCCAGGAAAAGTATTTCTGTGATTGGTCATCCCTTCCTTTGAAATTCGAGATACATTTTTGGTTGACATTGTTCAAGTCCCTAACACTACAATCTGATTAGTCAATAGGAACTTTTTTACTAGTTTTAATTTTTTAATTTTCATGAACAATATATATGTTAATTTAAATATAGTAAGCAACACATGCTGCAATTAAATGTTTTATTTCATATAATATTTACTAAAATAGAAGTAAATAACACTTTAAAATAAGGTCCCATTATTTAATTTTTTAATGCATTTACTAACATTAACTAAAAACGAGCAATACATTTGTTACAGTATTTATTATCATTCGTTAATGTTGGTTAATAAAAATAAAACTATTGCCTAGTTCCTGTTAGCTCAGGTCCATTAAGTAATATTAACAGATACAACTTTTGATTTTAATAATGTATTAGTATGTTGAAATTAACATTTAACTAAGATTAATAAATGATTTAGAAGAATTTTAAATTGTTAGTTCATGTTAACTAATGTAGTTAACTAGTTGTAAAGTGTTACCAATGAATCAATATGGATAAAATCATTTGAATTAAATTTTTTGACTGAAATCCGCGTTTTGAACTAATCAATTTAATGATTCAATCAACAAAACTTTGAAAATATCGAGGTATATTTTTGTCAATTTTGCACACCCTAATGTACGGTATTAATTTTGATTTATTTAGGTCTTTAAAAGGTCTTAAAAAGCCTTAAATTTGAATTTAAAAAGTGTGCAGCAACCCTGGTCCCAGCACTATCGATATAAAAGTCCATTTCCAACACTTATCAGAAAAACCTATTGGGAATTAGAAAAAAATAATAAATAAAATAAAAAAGGTCCCACTTTATATTAAGTGGATTTAACTAGTATGTACTAACATTGAAATTAATAATTTGATACAATGGATTTATTGTGTACATGCATGTTTTTACATTGAATTTATATTTTAAAAATACCTGCGTGTAATTACAGCTGTTGACCCTTCCCTTACACCTTAAAGGAGAACTCCGGTCAATTTTAACATTGAGCTCATTTTTTTGTACATTTGGAGTGCTGTCAGTACAGACAAAAACGACAAAAATCGGTGTTGCCTACACCGTGTTATCCTCTTTTTAAAATTCGCACCCTGTTGACTTCAATGGGGCAAGTTCTAAACCTGCTTTTAGCCTCTTAACAACCTTAATGTGTCATTACAAGTGCACAGCCATGTGAGTGGTGTTATTAAGAGTGACCACGGTCAATCTGACTGCAGTAGATGTGCAAGATATTAATAAAAATGATGTTAATTCAGCCAGCTCACATACCTGTATTTACTTCCTGTTTTCGTTCGAAGTCCACAGTAGTCGATTGTCGAGTTCGCGCGCGCGATCATTGGTAACTAATATAACTAATGATCGTGCGCGCGAACTCGACAATCGACTACTGTGGACTTCGAACGAAAACAGGAAGTAAATACAGGTATGTGAGCTGGCTGAATTAACATCATTTTTATTAATATCTTGCACATCTACTGCAGTCAGATTGACCGTGGTCACTCTTAATAACACCACTCACATGGCTGTGCACTTGTAATGACACATTAAGGTTGTTAAGAGGCTAAAAGCAGGTTTAGAACTTGCCCCATTGAAGTCAACAGGGTGCGAATTTTAAAAAGAGGATAACACGGTGTAGGCAACACTGATTTTTGTCGTTTTTGTCTGTACTGACAGCACTCCAAATGTACAAAAAAATGAGCTCAATGTTAAAATTGACCGGAGTTCTCCTTTAACCCAC